TGTTTCGAGGATTTATTATTATCTTTCTCTGTGTCTCTTTCTCTCTCTCACATACACTCACATCATTATTTATTCCTTCTGATTCACTTAACTCACACCCATTCGCTTGCTCCTCTGAGCGCTACCTAGCAATTGTGATGCCAGTGCTTTCAGATACTCTGATGCCTCCTATTCAGTAGATTCTGGCTCATCTACCTCACATTATATTGGCCAACAAGATGGTTAGCTTTACGTACTCGCTTTGCCACAAAATCGTCTCATTTATCCGCACCTTTAAGACAAGTGTCTCCCTGCAATTCGGTACAATCTAGTCCTCTCCATTTTCACCAATCACAAACTTATTCTCGTCTTATCTTTGACTTGCTCTTAGAGTCTGTGCTACACGTAGGCTCGGCAACGGTTTGTAACGTAATTCATGCTCCAGGTGAAGATATTCCTTGCGTCCTCCAGATTATCTATGATCAGACGCAGGCAGTCGCTAGATTGGTCGCCATGGTGACCTACATCGGCGGTGGCATCAAAAATGGACATGCAACGCCTATACTAAAGGCGGCGAAGCTTTCTAGATATCGTGCTCAAATATTGCACACGATTCCATATATTTATACTATTTTTTTCTGATTCCTTAGAGGAACATTAAAAATATTCGATGAAATGTTTGGATTTGAATAGTTTCTTGACATTTTTATGTCATAATATTTGCCCTCTTCTATGAAGTGCTCGGGTGGCCTTTGAGTTGTGATTATAGATTTGTGCTAATATTTCATCAACACACCACTATCCATCGGACTCACAAATGGGATTTCCGAGGACCTATTTTTACACAGATTTAATCACAACTCCTAGGCAACCACCTTACATATTAAGATTAGTCCAACTTACGAATCCTTAGCATTCGCCTCTTCGAACAAATTGAAATAAAATACAACATTTGTATGGATAAGTGTGCAACATACATCCTTACGATTTCTTTTTTGACCCAGTTCTATTTGTAAGATTCGGCTTCATGGCGATAAGACCTAACACGAATATTTTAGGCTCAGAGAATTATATATCGAGGAATCCTAGACAAT